GCCAGCATCAGCACTTTTTCTTCACTCCAAGTGAAGTGAAGAACCATTGGGAAGTCTAAGTGAAGGAAAGTCTTAATCCAACCTAATGTCAAGGATCACTCTACTAAGTTGAGAATGGACTGTAGGGGGAAAAGACAGCAGGGAACCAGTGTGTCAATTGTAGCTGGGTTGGTTTTTGTGGTTTTTTTTTACAACTAAATAGATATGGCTTGATATATTGCTGTCTTCCTTCTAAGATTTAGGGAATGGTCCAACTGCTGAAGTGAAAAGAAGAAACCATTTCAAAGCCATTATTGTTGCTGTTAACTGACATCAAGTCAACTCCAATTCATGGCAACTCCATGTATATAATAGAATAAAATGTCGTTCAGTATTGAGCCATCTTTGTATTATTGGTACGTCTGAGTCCATTGTTGCAGTTACTGTGTCAAGCCACCTCACTGAAGGGTTTCTGTGTCTTTACCCAACAAGATGTCCTCCTGCAGTGATCAGTCCGTCCTGATGACATGTAGAAAGGAAGCAGGTCAACATTTCAGACAATATTCTATGATCTGTAGGGTTTTCATTGACTAGTTTCCAGATACAGGTCATCAGGTTTTCCTTTCTAGTCTGTCTTAGTCTGGAAGCTTTGCTGGAATTGTACCACCATGGGTATCCCTGGCTGTATTTTAAATACTGATGGCATAGCTTCCAGCATCAAAGCAACACATAAGCCACACAGTGCAACAAGCTGATACATAAGTGGTGGTCAAAACCATCAGTACAGTCCAGTTCTGGAATTAGAGGCTTTGTGTTGACTGAGCATCTTCTGTGAGCCAAAACAGTCACAGGAAACAGCAAAGCCACAAGGGAAACGGCCTGCAAGAGGGCATGTGGACAGAGCTGGGAGGTAAGTATGGAGTTTCTTGGTGTTTCTGGTGGGGACGTCTTTGAGAGGAAAGGTAGAGTAGGCCACGGAGCAGTTTTGCCAGCTGACTGAGGGCCCAAGTCTACTGGGGAGAAGAAGAGGGGTTCATCTGGCTCCTCTCTATTCCTCCAGCCCTTACTCCTCTCACATAGGGTCACTGAATCATGCCTGAGTCTGACAACAGCCACACAAAGTGTGACAGGACTTAGAAGATCCTGAGAGAGCTGGATCCCAGCACCAGGACGAGGCTTAGATTTGGAATCATAATCAAAGTATGGTTTGATTGGCCAGCAGAGTCACAGGACAATGCCCTAAATGAATCAGCTGTGTCAGCAAGGTCTGTCCATAGAGAGCTGGTCAGGGGTGACTGAAGAGAACCAGCCAGTCAGGAAGGACCATAAGAACCTAAGCAAGTACAAATGCAAAACAGAGACCGTCAACAGGCAGTTACAGGAGAGACAGTCAGGACCAGGGAAGTCATCAGAGTTCTGCTATCATCTCCTAACAAATCCAGTAAGTCTTCCTGGAAGCAGGAGGCTTTCAAGTACAGTGTTGAAAGAGTAGAAGGGAAGGAAAACAGTGAACTCTGGTGTGGATAAGCATCCCAGTTTAGGGGGAAATGTGAGCATGGGATGGGATCATCTTCTGGTAGGTCAAAGGGGTGAGTGATGTATGGGGAATCTGGGATGTTTCCTGAGACTCTAGGTGGGGTACAGAACCTTTCTCACCCATTTAACCACTTCCTGGAAAAAGTGGCCACTCAGGAGCATTTTACAATGTGAGAGGAACATGGATTCTTGAGTGGACTTCCCCAACACTGGGTGTGCCCTTCAAAAGATGTGGAGCAGAGGGGACAGGACCAAAGAGAGTGATGAGTGAGTTCACCTAGGCAATAGGGTGTGGGAGGGGGTAATTGGAGTTACCTGAGAAGCCCCAGAGAGGGCATTTTATGAGCTGTCTTTTGGGACAGGGAGGAGGAGAAACCACAGCCTCTATTTGATTAGTTCACAAAGGCTTCCTGGAAGAGGCGGCCATTCGGGAATATTCCAGGCAAAGGTGTGACTGGGAGAAAACGTGGGGATAGGGAGATGAGAGTGAGGGAAACTAACAGAGCACACACACACAAGTTGCCATGGAGTCAGTTCTGGTTGAGGGTAAGTCCATGCATTACAGAATTGTTGTTAAGTGTCCACGAGTTGGTTCCGACTCATGGTGACCCTGAAAAGGGGTTCTGAGACTGTAAATCTTTGTGGGAGCAGAAAGCCTCATCTTTCTCCCACAGAGCAGCTATTGGGCTCCAATTGCCGACCTTGTGTTTCGCAGTCCAGTGCTTATCCTCTAATACCACTGTGCTCCACATTAACGAGTAGAACTGTTCTAATCTTTATGGAAGCAGATCACCAGGCTTTTCTTCCACAGATGGGCAGAAACAGAGGAGGAGACAGGGAAGGAGGGTGGTTGGGTGATAGGTAGAGGCAGGCCTGAGTTCTAGGTTGTCTACCTCTCCTTTGGGTATAACCATAGAGCAGAGGCCCAACCTGACCTGACTCATGAGTTTCCTATCTTCCCTGGATGGCCTGAGAGCAGCCCTATGAGGACTCAGCCTCCCTTCCTCCCTCCCTCCCTGCTCTCCCCTCAGCTTCTCTTAGTTAAAGCTCTGTCTGAGTAGCCCTCGAGGTCCTAGGCTCCACACTGCTGTCTGCAGCAATGCACCCTTCACCCAGTACAGCACCAAGGAGTGTGTCTCAGGAGCAGGTCCCTATGCAGGGCTGTGTCTGGCTTCACTCCCAGAGTCCCCATGGTGCTCATGCCCTTCTTCTGGATATCTTGCTGGACCTGATAATATCTTGTTTCTGAAAACAGTGGGGCCATCCCAAGTCTCCTGAACCTCGTGGCTTCCCCATCCCCACTTTTGGAGGCCAGGCCCAATTCGGGACGGAGGTTTCAGTAGTGTTTGTGTATGTGTGCTTCTGGGATGGGAGAACAGCTAACAAGGGGCCTTCCCTCCAGGAGAAAGTCTCCCCTCCCTGCTGCCCCCAAAGAGAGGCAGAAATGGATCTTTTTCCATCATCTTCACCAAACTGGAGGGGAGCCGAGGTTTATAGGAACTGTGAAAGGGGTGAGGCTTTATGGCTGAGCAAACAACCCACCTATTCTCCACCTCCCGCTCTCAGCCACCACCCTACTCCCACTTTCAAAGGGCCCCCAATGCTGCTTGGTCCATACCACGCCTCCTCCTGGTCTATACAACAGCCAGTCAGCCAGTCAGACAGTTCAGTGTCCAAAGCCCCAGAATATTCAACCCTGGGCCTAAGCCAACAGGGTCCCTGTATTCTTCAACATCACCTCCTTCTCTCCCACCCCAAGACTCCACCCAAGCCTTTTATACAAGTGAAATTAGGTTAAAGAAATCCTAATTAAAAGGAGTCATAAATGTGCAGAGGAAGTGAAGTCTGTGGGCAGGGCAGGAGCAGGCCCCTTCTCTGCTAGATGATGGGATATACAGGATGCTAGGGATATTGTGACAAGATACAACAATGTCTTCCCTTTATACAGAGTATGTGGTTCTCCCAACCACTCTGGTAGGTAAAGATGAATCCCATTTTATAGTCAAGGAAATGGAGACTTGGAGAGGTTACAAATTTCTCCAAATGCACACTGCTAAGAAGCATCTAAATTGGTACTGGAACCAGTCTTCTGACTTGGATTCCATTGCTTAAATTTGCTTAATCCCAGCTGCTTCCCCGTGGGTGAACAGAATCTGAATATCTTTTAGAGCTGGCTGGTGAGGTCACCTGCTCCTCCCCACACAAGCTTCCCAAAGTCTCTACCCTATCCTGAAAAACAGGTGTGGGATAGGAGGCAGTCACCCATCAGCATCATCTGGGTGAAGGACTGAGAGCATCCAGCTGAGAGATCGAGGACAGGCCCAGGACTGAGGACTGGGCAGAAGGGCAGCACAGTGGTAAAATTTGGTTTTACAAGACTCTCTGGAGAAAGACTCACCCTCCGAAGGAAGCTCATTGGCTTTTCTTTCTTAAGTTCTTACCATCTCAAGTGTCTGGCTAATCTTCCTGGAGGCAGACATCACTTCCCCAAGGTTCATATTCAATAAATCATAAAATAATAGCAATTATTATCCTAATAAGGGCCCAAGGACACAGGGAAGTAGGGATGTTAGAGAGAACAAGGCTCCCAGAGCCCTGGGACCCACAAATCATAGCGTCCCCTGGCAAGAAAAAGCTATCATCCCACCCACATCTCCTTGCAAAATGTTCCTCGAGGGGTGAGAATTGCAGGGCTGACCAATAGATGAGTATATCCTCTGGCCAGTGGTCTTGAGAGGAAGCTAGACTGTTTCTTCTTAAGAAGCTAATAGCCGTCATGCAGAGCAAGCAGCACCCAGACTGTCCTCAAATCGTTCCTCCAGTCCTTTCAGCCAAATGGGAGAAAGTGGCTATAGGGGAACCTCCCCATTACCCACAAGCACCCATTATTGTGGCCACTGAGAGTTGAGTGGTTTGAAGTTTTCCTGAGTGAGAAATAAAGAATCCAGACAGAACTCAGATAGAAATTATCTGCTCCAGTCTTCTGCCCTGGAAAGGAACTTGGTCAAAAGAGCCCCCCAGGTTCTGAACCACCTTCCAGGAGTACTGCCTCGATAGGACATGCCTGGCCAATTAGCCCAGGAAACACAATGATTCATTTGAGAATGAGACCTGATCTCGGGTGGTCTCCACCAACCTGGGACCTCAGAACTTCCTTCCTTGAGACACTGGCCCTATCCTATACCCCAACCCCAGCCATCTTCATATTGTTTTGGAGTTCACATCCGTCTCCAGGTGTGGGTTGAGGCCATCTCACAGGCAGACTGCGAGAAAATTAATTACTTAATGTATGTAAACGAGCTTTGAAGATGAAAAGTGCAAACGCACAGTGTCCCTAATAACATCTTCAATACCTTTAGGAGCCCCAGAGTCTCGGCTGAGCTCACCTTTAAGATGAGTCCTTGGGGAGTTGCTGGCAAACTCCCCAAGCTAATAAACAACATAAAATGGCTTTTCACTCCTTTTATGCAGCCAACCCCAGCTCTCCCCACAAATAAAAGGACCAGGGAGGATCAGAGGCCAGAAGATCCTAAGGCGCGCACTCCACAGTCCACACTGCCTTCCACCACCGCTCAGACCCACTCAGATCCACACCATGTCGTGCCGCTCCTACAGGATCAGTTCAGGATGTGCAGTTACCAGAAACTTCAGCTCCTGCTCAGCCGTGGCCCCTAAAACCGGCAACCGCTGCTGCATCACGGCCGCCCCCTACCGCGGCGTCTCTTGCTACAGGGGCCTGACCGGTGGCTTCGGCAGCCGCAGCCTCTGCAACGTGGGTTCTTGTGGGCCCCGCATGGCTGTTGGCGGCTTCCGTTCTGGCTCCTGCGGACGCAGTTTCGGCTACCGCTCTGGAGGCGTGTGCGGGCCCAGTGGCCCCTGCATCACCACCGTGTCTGTCAACGAGAGTCTGCTTACACCCCTCAACCTGGAGATCGACCCCAACGCACAGTGCGTGAAGCATGAGGAGAAGGAGCAGATCAAGTCTCTCAACAGCAAGTTTGCTGCCTTCATTGACAAGGTCAGTGAGGCCTGGAAGGACCCAATCCCACAAGGCAGAGAAGGGCCTGGTGATGCCCTGTCTTTGCAAAGGTACCGTCTGTTGGGAGACAAGACAGAGACTGAGGAAAATAAATGCAGGCTTATATAGGCAGAGGGATCAGTTCTCAGTGCATTCCAGCAAAGTTGACCAAGGTTTAGAAATGGGCCAAGGTCTTCGTTTTAGTTGCCGTTGGCTTGATTCTGGTTCTTGGAGATCCTATGTGTGCAGAGTAGAACTGCTCCATAGGGCTTTCAAGGCTGTGATCTTTATGAAGCCGATCACCAGATCTGTCTTCCAAAATACCTCTGGATGGGTTAGAACCCCCACCCTTTAGGCTAGTAGTTGAGTGCTTAACTATTTGTACCACCTAAGGACTCTACCAAGGTCCCTAAGTGGCACAGATGTTTGGCACGCAGCCAGTAACCTGAAGGTTGGTTGTGCAAACTCACCCGAAAGTACTGTGAAAGAAAGGCCTGGCAATTGGCTTCCATTAAGATTACAGCCAAAAAAAAAAAACCCTATGGAGAAGTTCTATACTAGAACACATGGAGTCACCATGAACTGGAATGGATTAGCATCCATGGATTTGCTTTGGGCGCTCTTGGTCCAGAAACTGAGAATGTGGTCTACATTGTGTGTATGTGTTTCTGAAGTGCAGAGCTTTCCCTGAAACACTGTGCTGGGCACTGTGTCCTCAAAGAGTCAATGGAGAGTGCAAAAGGCATGGTGGCTCAGGGCCCAAGTCCAGATAACGAAGGGCAGCCTCAGAGTCACACTACCTCCCTTGAGTTATTACCTTACCACTAACAGTTTGGGGCCTCAGGCATGTTACTGAACGTCCCTGCTTCATAGGCTTCTTGTGAAGATTGATGAATTAATATATAAGAACTGCAGGCAAATACTAATCACTTGAAAAATGCTAGCTGTTATAATTTTCCAAGTAGTAATGGGGCAAGGAGGCAGGGCCCAGATTGGTCAGCCACCTTCCTTGTTGGAAGGCTGGGAATGTGGAAGAGGAGGTCAGACTAGCAGGTGGATGCAGCTAAGTAGAAAATGCCACATTGCTATGAGGCTGCCTCTCAAGAAAGTCTAGCAAGGGGGGCTGGAGCCACCTGACACACTTTCCTCTCTCACCTTGTCATTTTGGCTTCTTCTGTGTCCACAAGGCCTCCTAGTAGCCTAGCAGGTGGCACTGGGCTCAGGGGTGTAGTACTGGAATTGGGGGTGACTGTCTTGTTAACATTTTCTCTTTAGTGAATTTGGTTTCAAAACGGCCAAGTGGGGTAAGTATTATCAGTCCCATTTCTCAAATACAGAAATGGAGTCCAGTGGAGTTTAGACTTTTGTGGTGGGTGGAGAAAGCTCAGGGAACATAAAATTCTAATGCCATAACTTACTCGTTACGTAGCTAAGAGCTAGTCATGACACACCTTGGGAATCTTAGTTTTCCTATCTGTGGTATGGAGGGCAATATTATCATCCCCTCATGGAATTGTAATAAGTGAATGAAATTATACAAATAAATATAAATATGAATGCATAGGTTCGGCACCACATAGTAAATATTCAAATAGCCAAGAAGCATTTATTACATAAATAAGTAAATGAAACACAACTAGTGATTACAATAAGAGTTACATTTGTTGAGTAGTAACTATGTGTCAGAGACGGCTCTAAGAACTCACATGCATTAACTTGTCTAATCTTTACAGCTCTAAGGTAGGTAGGTTCTATTATGAACTCTGCTTTAGAAATTAGAAAACAAAGCACCAAGAGATTAATTAACTTGACCACTCAATGTGGCAGAACTGGGACCTGAATCAGATTTTTGGCACCAAGTCCAGGCACGTTCCCTCTCATCCACAACTACCTCCCTGAGGACTGAGAGTGACTTCTTGAACCCCACACACACACAACCTCATGGATCAGCCCTTGGCGGGTCCTGGCTGTTTTAGAGGCATCCAAGAGCAGAGAGAGCTCTTGAGGACTGGACATTTCTCCCTTGAGGTTCCCTCCTGACTCTCTCCCTCATCCTGAATGGCAGGTGCGCTTCCTGGAGCAGCAGAACAAACTGCTGGAGACCAAATGGCAGTTCTACCAGAACCAACGATGCTGCGAGAGCAACATGGAGCCCCTGTTCAATGGCTACATTGAGACACTGAGGCGGGAGGCTGAGTGTGTGGAGGCAGACAGTGGAAGGCTGGCTTCAGAGCTCAACCATGTGCAGGAGGTGCTGGAGGGCTACAAGAAGAAGTGAGTGCATGTGGGGACCAAAGGGATCCCAGGAGGAAGGCTAGAAGTTTCCACCCTTAGCCTGTTTGAAGTAGCTTCTTTAAGATTCCCAACAAAGTCTACCTTGGACTCAGAGGGGGTGTCCAATAGGGTTCTGGCTTTCTTCAGATTCTCAGGCTCCACCTCTATCCCTTTGAAGTACCATAGGTCTTAGAACCAGCATTGGAGAGAGTGAAGGAAGAAAACCCAATGGCTATCTATGCTCCCTACCCTTTCCATTGTTTTCATGCCAGGGGTTGATACTATCCTTGCCAGGAACGTGAGTTCTGTGGACATAGGGGGCAGTGGATGATTTTAGACTAAGAGGATGGAGCGCATTCCCTGCTCTCACCTCAGAAGCAGAAGAACTGGGTGGAATAAAGTCAGACTGGGACAAGAGTTAACCCATGAAAATGCACAAAATAGGTCACTGTTAGAACCAGACAACACTGGAATGCGATTAACCCCTGCTTGCCGAGGAGCTGAGATGGCATTCAAGCCCCAGACCCCTCAGCTTCAATCCATCTCTTTCTCCAACTTAGGTATGAAGAGGAGGTAGCCCTGAGAGCCACAGCAGAGAATGAGTTTGTGGTTCTGAAGAAGGTGAGGGGGCTACTCATGCATCAGGGAGGGGGGCCCACTATGTAGCCTCCACCGTGAGGCGTGGTCACCCCTGACCACAGAGTACCACCTTCCTTTGGGTTTTCCCTCAAACATGCCCCCTCTTGTCTGCCCACCACCAGGATGTGGACTGTGCCTACCTGAGAAAGTCAGACCTGGAGGCCAACGTGGAGGCCCTGGTAGAGGAGACCAGCTTCCTGAGGAGACTCTATGATGAGGTGAGGACCCCTGCCAGCCAGCTCAGGCAGACAGAGGGGCAGTGTGGGGACTGGAGGAGTGGGGGAGAGGAGGCATGTATATGTGTGCCTGTCCATGAATGGTGTACATGTGGAGAGAACATGCACACACATGATACAGCTGGGTTATATGGATCTCAGAGACAGGTGTGTGTGTGTGTCTGTGTGTCTGTGCCATGTCTGTGCTCACATGTTTGAGCATCATGTGTGCCTATGAGCACATCTGGGTGTTAAGGTGTGTGTGCCTGTGTGCTAATCTGTGTGTATGAGTTCCTATGTCAGTCTATAGATGGACATGAAAGTGGCATATGTGAGAGTGGGAGGTCACGGGATGGGTGCCTACTTAAAGTGGCTTTAATTAGTGGACTAATCACTGAACCTGGCATTCAGATCCCAGGTACCCGAATTGGTGACTTTGGGTCAAGCTTTTCATACTCTCTGGGCCTCAGTTTCTCCATTTGTTAAGTCAGGGCTGTCTCAAGATGATGTCTAGAGAGGGCCCCACTGAGCTTTATTGTTTTATGATGTGCCTATGTGAATGAAGGTAGAAGGGGGGCAAGTGGAGCCAGAGTCAGGTAGCATTCATAACCAGTGATCCCTGCAGGTAGTGGGCACTTCTCCAGGGGCCCAAACTAAATGCATTGGCTGTTGACTTCCAGGAGATCCGCGTCCTTCATTCCCACATCTCAGATACCTCAGTCATCGTCAAGATGGACAACAGCCGGGACCTGAACATGGACTGCATCGTAGCTGAAATCAAGGCTCAGTATGATGACATCGCTAGTCGCAGCCGGGCTGAGGCTGAGTCCTGGTACCGCACCAAGGTGAGTGGGCCCAGCACCCCTTCCCAGAATCCTACGTTGTCTAGGTAGCTGGGGGTGGGCAAGGGAAGACAGAATTCTGAGAATGGATTGTGCTAGGTTAAAGCTGGAGTTAGGCTTAGAGCTGGGGTGAGGGTTAGGGATAAAACAAGAACTGAATTTAAGTGTATGTGACTGAGTAAGATGACTGGTCCTGTTTACCTGGTCTCCATGCTCTCTCCTGCAGTGCGAAGAGATGAAGGCTACAGTGATCCGGCATGGGGAGACCCTGCGCCGCACCAAGGAGGAGATCAATGAGCTCAACCGCATGGTCCAGAGGCTAACGGCAGAGATTGAGAACGCCAAGTGCCAGGTAGGGTACGGAGACAGCTTGACTACCCAACACAGGCAGGTTGCAACACCAGACCTTCTCCCCTAGAAGGACAAATGCCTGACCTGGTCAGGCTTCTCCATGCACTGGTGAGAAAACAGGGACCCACAGTGAGGCAGGGCTCTGCCACAGCACACAGCACTCCAGTGAGATAGATCATATCATCAACTTCCAAAGGAGGGACCTAGCCCTTTCCTGGGCCACCCTGGGAACCCCATTAAGAAAAAATGATGAAAAGCCTACCCATCTCATCTCTCATATTCACAGCCCCTCAATTCCCTGGTCATAGATGCCAACCTTCTTTCTGGGACCCTCTGCTCCCTATCCTAGCACCATTGGCTTGAATGAGCCAACTTTGCTTTGTCTCTCATCCTCATCCTCACATCTTCACCCCCATAGCGTGCCAAACTGGAGGCTGCAGTGGCCGAGGCAGAGCAGCAGGGTGAAGCAGCCCTCAGTGACGCCAAGTGCAAGCTGGCTGAGCTAGAGGGTGCCCTGCAGAAGGCCAAGCAGGACATGGCCTGCCTGCTCAAGGAATACCAGGAGGTGATGAACTCCAAGCTGGGCCTGGACATTGAGATCGCCACCTACCGGCGCCTGCTGGAGGGCGAGGAGCACAGGTAGGACTCAGGAGGATCTTGCAGGGTAGAGACGGTGGAGGTCCTGCTTGCTGGGAGTGAATGAGTCCAAGGATGAGCTGTATCTCAGACCACTGCTAGGACAGGCCAAGCTTCAATAATAATTACCATCATAACTTATCGAGTATGTGCTATGTGCCAAGCCTGTGCTAAATGCTCATTTGAATTTTTATCATTGAATGAGGTAGGCATAATTTTTCCCATGCAATGATAAAGAAATTAGGTTAAAGAGAGGTTTGGTGACTTTCTCAAGGCCACACAGGTAGTAAGTGGAAGAGCTGGGACCTGAAGCCAAGTTATGTGTAGCCCATGTTCTCAGCAGCTCAGCTCACCTGAAGAATTGCCTCTTCTCTGAGGCTGCAGCTTGGTCCTCAGACAGGCTCCAGTGCTTTAACAACAATACACCCCTGCACGTATTCAGCTCTTCCTCATCCGGAGCCTCTTCACACACACTGTGATGTGAACTTGATCTGCAGTATCAAGGCCTGGGGTTACCTAGATAGAGGAGAGGGGATGGAATTCATACTCTTGCTGATCTCTGCTAAAAGCCAGAAGTGTTTGCCACCATGGTTAAAGAACAGTTAAAGAGAGAATGTGAGCACTTAATTCAGACTTTGGAGAAGCCCTGCCTGCCTCTGTTGGGGGTGGGTGGTCTGATAACAGCTCAGCCATCCCCCTGGATTCAGAACTAACATGCTTTTCTTCCCCATAGGCTATGCGAAGGTGTAGGCTCGGTGAATGTCTGTAAGTATTTTGTTGATGCATAAAGCTGAACCCAGCAGCCTAACCCCCTGACCCTTGAATGTTCTCTGACTAGGAGGGGGTACCTTTTGTTCTGCTCCTGGTTCCCCATTGGGGAGCACCAAGGGAGTTACAGAAAGCAGAGTAGAGTATCTTTTACTCAGGCAACTGTAAGCTGTAAGCCACGGATACAGAACAAGACAGCTTTGCTCCTCTGGGTTCAGGTGTCCTAGTCCCCTTCTTCCACCAAGCCCCTTGAAGGACTGTGATACTGAGAGGAATGGGGCCTGCATCACTGACCACTAAGCCCACCAGCTGCTCTTTGGAAACCCTATACAGGGTTGCTATGAGTCAGAACTCACTCCACGGCATTTATCAATAATAACAGCATATCCTGGTGTGGTGCTATAGAATAGACACTGGACTGTTAGCCACAAAGTTGGTGGTTCAAATCCACTTAGCCGATCATCAGAAACCTTACACAAGGTTACTATGAGTTGAAACCAACTCAATGTTAATTAACAAACCCCTTCTTAAAGGAGCCCTGGTAGCAAGTGATGACGCATTCTTCAGTTTGAACCCACCAGCTGCCTCTGCAGGATAAAGATGTGACTGTCTGCTTCCATAAATATTTACACAGCCTTGGAAGCCTTGAGGGGGGCAGTTCTACTCTGTCCTTTAGGGTCACTATGAATTATAATAGACCTCATGGCCATGGGTTCGGTTTTGCTTTTGGAGATCCCTTTTGGAGTTCTTGGGTAATGCCAACAGTTAATGTGCTTGACTGCTAATCCAAAGCTGGAAGTTCAAGTCTCCCCAGAGCACTTTGGAAGAAAGATCAGTCTGCTTCCAAAATGTCAGCCACTGAAAGCTTGCTGGAGTATTTCCACACACATGCAGTCGCCAGGAGTGGGCATCAGCTCCACGACTCCTGTGCTACAGATGCATGTCAGGGCCTATCTAGGGGGTGGAGGGACAGGGGCGGGTGTGTGGAGGTGGGCAGGAGTCCATCAGGTCACTCGTCCTTCCTCTCTTTGCTCCTCCATAGGTGTCAGCAGTTCCCGGGGCGGAGTCTCCTGCGGAGGCCTGTCATATAGCACCACCCCCGGCCGCCAGATCGCCTCAGGCCCTATGGCTACTGGGGGCTGCATCACAGTGATGGCCCCGGACTCCTGTGCTCCCTGCCAGCCCCGCGCCTCCAGCTTCAGCTGCGGGAGCAGCCGGTCGGTCCGCTTTGCATAGAGTCCGGGCCTCTGACAAGTGCCGCCTTGCCTGCTCCGCCCTGGCACTGAATGGTGTGTGACTGGAAAATGCGTGCTTGCTTCCAGAATCTCCCAGATGTTCCAAAAGAGAGAAGGACCCCGGTGCTCTCCTCCACTTTCTCACTTTAGGGAGTTGTTTTCTCGTTCTTCCGGGTCTCCCACAGCCTAAGAGTCAGAGAGAGACTCCCTCCCACCAGCTCCCCTCTCCTGGCTGGATAGGGTTATCTCTGCAGGAAGCACTTGCCTGTGTATTTTGTGTGTGGTTTGCTTGTCTCTCTGACTAACTTCCTTCTTCTGGGTTAACCTGTTTCAGCTCAACTCCTGATGTGGCCTCCCAGTTGAGAGCCCTGTATGGTGCCCACTATGGTTAGGGGATTGCAGACTGGTCTTGCTATTCCGTGCACCTTTATACATTTCAAAGAAAACCATGGTCCAGATCTCTCTCTGCCAGGTGCAGGTGGGACTTGGTCAAGACAAAGCTGATCAGGTGGAGAAGGTTAGACTACTTCCTGGGTCTCCCTCTTGGTTATGGATGTCTTCCACGATGTTTCAATCTATGTTTCAATAAATGCTGCTGCGATGCAAGTCTGTGATCTTGTGAACTATAATGCCCCACACCTGCAAACCAGCCTTGGAAACCTTGTGGGATGGGGTGGAGGACATCCTTTGACCCATCTCCAGCTTCCGATTCGGCTGCAGCACCATGCAACCTCCCCCCACTTCCCAGTGACTCCCCCTTGTCCTGTCTACTTCCACGGTCAGGCTCCAGTTTAGCCCTCAGGCCTGACCACAGCCCCAAATCCCTACCAGACCTCTTTCTCCCCTCCCCCACCCTCCACGTCTTCACTCTCAGTAGAGAAGACCCTACCCCAAAGTCATTGCTCTCACTCTCTCCAGCCCTGGGTCAAGTCACTATTTGGCATATGTTTGTGCTTCTTATGCCAAGCGAAGCCTCCTCCCATCTATTTCTCCATCCCATCCAACCCCACCACCCAAGGACATGGACTCCACCTAACTGGAGACAGATCCACCCTTGGGAGCCTCCCATTCCAAGTGGACATATGGGACATCCCATGTCCCTCTTTCCATTTGCCTTTGCTCAGTACGCATCTCTGCCCCGTGTACCTATCCCCCAACCCACCTGCAGTGTCTGCAGCCCTGAGACTTTCCATTTCTGTCCTGTGGCTCTGGTCAGGGATGCCATGACTATATCTGGAACCTGGACCAGGCAGAAAGTTTCTTAATGGTAAGAAATGTCTCTTCCACAGGAGTTATAGATACCCAACCCTCAGATTCACCTCCTCTTCTCCCTTAGGAGAAGAAATTGACTGTCGCTATGGCCAGGGCCCCTGTGTTGCCCCACCTCCCAGCCTCTCTTCCTAGGAGGAGAAGTCAAGGCTCTATACTTTCTGATGACTCCTCATTTCAGGGTCAAAGGTTACAATCCCACTGAGAGCTGTTGGCCTCAAAAATGTTGGGTGCTACACTGAAGTTTGTCATCAGGAACACCTCCTCCAACTCTCTTGCCTGCCCCCTCCTTTCTGCCCCCTCTCTGGGGCTTGATATAAGATACATCATTCAACCATTTGTTGTTAACTGTTGTGAAGTCAGTTTCAGTTCATAGGGACCATGTATAGGGTTTCTGAGGAGCTGCTGGTGAGTTTGAACTGCCAACATTGTAGTTAGTGGTCCAGTGCTTATCCTACAGCACTACACCATAAGAAATATTAAATCTCATGAGTTAAAAGTCAAGAGATCAAAATTTTCATCCCAACACGAGACGCTGGGCATCTGCTTGCACATCTACAGAGTGAATGGGGTTGCGCCACATCATCTCCAAGGTCCCGCCACTCCCTGTGGTTGTAGGGTGCTGGGGTGAGTCTATGCTTGAAGGGAACAACTTGATGTTACCATGGATGTAGGCTAAATTGTCAAATCTGATATCCCAAAATATGACACGGTGCATTGAAAAGTCAAAGAAGCAGGATGCAGGGAATAGTAATAAATGTTTTAATGAGTCTCCATGTTTTGTCGCAAAGACAGTCAACTGATACACGTAGTAGAGATACCATTGGATGCTAGCACTACAAACCCTCTTCCCCAGCCCTCTCCATGACCAACAGGGAAAAGCTAGAGCAAGCTCTTTTAGTTCAGATTCAGAAAGTCCCTCAGCCCTTTCCTGCTAAAAGGACTATTCCCCACATAAAGCAAAGGGGATAATCCAAGGAGAGCCAAGAGCTGATGCTTTATTAGGGAAAAAGTGTAAAGGAGAAGTCAAGTGTTCTGAAATCGAGAGCCAAAGAAAGGTCAGAAGAGTAAGCAGTCCAAGCAATAAAGCGGACCCACTGATAACCACAAATGTCACAGACCAAGCTAAGACTGTCATCACAGAAAATCAGAGCTGCTGTCTCTAAACCACCCTTCCAAAAAAAAAAAAGCACACTCAGTTTCCAAAGGCTTCTAAAATAAGGATTCTAATCCTTTTAAGCATACATATTAAAAAACTACAGAATCTAAGCAGTTTTTCCTTCCTGAGACATGAGCATTCCTCTACAGAGACCCAGGTCCCCTGTGTTTCCTGCCATCTTCATAAACACCTCTGGCCAGGATGCACTCTCCCAACCTCAGGGTCTCGGGCCATTCTCTGGTTCAGTCTCTGGGACCACAGGAAATACTGATTTGTAGTATGATTTACCTCAGCTAAGTATAGTGAGAAAACTAAATTAACTACATAATCAAGAAAATTACATACTGCATACCTATGGAAATGATATCCCCCCCTTGTCTAAATTATCCACATCACTGCCGCCCATGGGGATCATGAACATGGAACAGTACCACGTGTCCACTGACTTACCACTAGAAACTGGGACAGCTGCACAAAGAGAACTTTCTTTTGATTGGATGAGGCTTTGTGCCTCTAGAAATCCCTGCCCATTTCTGCCTATTTCAGAGATAGCAGGATGCCCCACCAATATTCCTGGGGTGCTACTGCACAGTGTTGTGCAGGGAGCAGCAAGGGCGTGGAGGGGTGGGGGAGCAGCACATTTAGGATGAGCCTATGCATTAATGAAAGGAGTTCCTGGTTTGGACAAATAACAGATGTGCTGGACAGCTACCTGAAGGGATGAATGTTCAAGTCTATCCAGAGGAAAGTATAGCTTTGCTGTCTGCCCACATCAATTGTTGTTGTTAAGTGCCATCGAGTCAGTTCTGACTTACAGCAATCCAATACAGGGTTTCCAAAGAGCAGTTGGTGAGTTTGAACCACCAACCTTGTGACCTTGCAATTAGCATTCCAGTGCTTATCTAACAGTAGGGTATATTAGTAGTTGTCAAACTTGAGTTCTTTTAGGAGTCACCTGGGAAGTTGTTTTTAAAATGCAGATTCCTGGGCTCATCCCTAGACTTTTAGTTCAATAGTGCTGGATGGGGCCCCAGGATCTGTAAATGTAACAAGTACTCTTGATGATCCAGATGTAGATGGTTGTCCATGGACCACACTTAGAGAAACACCAGAAACAATCAGGTCTTTGGGTGGGTTGGAAGAAAAAAGCAACCAACCAACAAACAAATGAGGCAGGCATTAACTGAGTTAGTAGGGAGAAAGCCTTTTTGCCAGCAGCGTTTAATCATACACACCAGAAGAGAAAAGAAGCCATGTCAGGAATCACCCAAATACAATATAACTCCAAAGAATCGGTAAAAAAAAAAATATATATATATATATATCTCAGCTGGTTAGTCTCAGTAATAAGTGTTTTGATCCTGACATACAACAATGAGTTGGAAGATGCTCTGGAAATAGCCAATCTCACAGACTAAGTGAGGAACCTCCCCAGAGCCCCATCTGACCCCTCCATGCCCAGGTAGCTTCTCTCATCCACAGCACCAGGCCTGGGGATGATGCTCCAATGTCACACATCCCTCAACCTGGCTCCCTGACCAGAGGATCAGGCATACAGTCAGTACTTAATAAATGTCTGCTGACCTGAAGGTAACTAGGGAGAAAACTACTAAGTTGTTTATATCAAAAAGCCTTTACATCCCTCTCTTAGATGACAGGGAGGGGGACAGTCATTGGGAATGACAATGCCAAACCCAGGAGTTACATTCAGAGAGTAAATAACCCCAGTGAAAAGAGAGCTGGAGAGTTCATCCCGGGTTCCTTGTAAGAGGAAATTACCGAACTGACATTGGATCTGAGAGAGAAATTATTTCCTCCTCCTGCCCCTGCACATCCTCATCAGATCCAGTCTATCCAAAGTCCCACCCCCTCTATGCAAACCGCACAGATCTTGCACTGGAGTAGCCCCCCATTACAGAGGGGGAGCAGAGGCCGCTGCTGCTGATGGTCATGCCCCCTAGACCACGAGAGACTGTGGAACTGAGGTCCCCGCAAACCACGCCACCATGGGAACGGCTCACACCTGTGGACAGAGACAGTAGGTTAGAATTCATGCCATCCCAGATATGGTCTGACTCAGAATCTTTTAAAAGCAATGATTAATTCTGTTCAAACTCAGAGAGATTAGCAACACCATTATTTTCAATTTACAGGTAAAGCTATCCATTCCTATCTGCTTCATGAGGAATGTGGTTAGCAATCTATATACCTAATTCTATTTGGCCTTGACTGATGTTGAGAAGCATCTATACAATCTTTGCACAAAACTGATGAATTACAGTAAAGACATTATCTAGAAACATGGTGGCTGGAAAGGTTTTAAGGTAAATTGGTGGATCAAAAACAGACATCCATCTATATTGGGATAAAGATTTAAAAGTTGCCTGTTGTTGTTGTTGTTAAGTGCCATCAAGTCAGTTCCGACCCATAGCGACCCTGTAGAGGGTTTCCAAAAAGCATCTAGTGAGCTTGCATTTCAAACAGCTTTGCAGTCTGGCACATTAACCCATAGCACCATGCCTAAAGTGACCCCAATTGACCAGAATATTTATCTAGTATTCTTCAAAACATGATACCACATAAGCAGTATTCTATGTGTAACTAGAAGTCTTAGACTAGTTTTGCAGAATCAAATATGGGTCCAGAAATTACCATGCTCATAACTTTAGACTTCATGGATCTACAGAATGGCCGAGCCTTTAGGGGCTGTCCATTTGTCCAGATCTGAGAGATCTGCAGCTCCAGTCTCCCCAACCCAGTGCCCATGAACAGAGGCTCAGCCCCCTGTTAGATGCATCCAGACATTATGACTATTGGTACCCAGCAAAGCCATGCCCCCACACACCCAACTTACAGATGTTGACAGAGCCCACGCCTTCACACAACCTTTAGGGGAGAAAAGAGGATGAGCAGTTAGAGCCAAGTTGCTCTGCTTATGAGGCAAAGATCTATCCTCCCCCATCCTGAAGAAGGGACAGAGGACACACTGCCTATCTGCTGTAGACAGCATCAGTATTGGCTATGCTGTTCACTGGCATTCCCAAAGGACAGACTATGTTGAGCTCAAGGATCCAAAGGATGATTTTAGCTTTGTTTACTTCTCAGCTATGGAGACTTCATGGACTGAAGGGTAGAGATGAAGGTATCATCCTTGTTGCTTGACTGGAAATTCCAGCAAAACCAAAGAATAACTGACGGGAGTAGCCACTGCCTAGCTGGATACGTCTGGGAGGGAAAAAAAGCATGGCCATTGTGCACATTGATTCATTTTTATCCCATAATTTAAAATTCCACCCCAGACATCCACCTGATTCCATTCAGTGCAGAGGGAGGCTGGAAGTTCTGGTGGTTACAAACCTGGACTCAGGAGCCAACAGCCTGAGTTCAAACATGTCTTCTGTTTCCTCCTAAAATGGAGTGGCAATACATGTTGTATGACTGTTGCAAGTCATATATGGAGTCCTGCTGTGGGGCTGTAAGATGAGCACTGGACTGCTAACTTCAAGGTCAACAGTTCAAACCCACCAGTTGTTCCTCAGAAAATCTATATTAGGTCATTATGAGTTAGAACTGTCTCAACAGCACTTAATAACAATAACAACAAGTAAATTGCCTAAAATAGAGATTGTTGTTGTTGTTGTTGTTGTTAAGTGCCATCGAGTCGGTTCCGACCCATAGCGACCCTGTACAGGGTTTCCGAGGCTGTAAATCTTTACGGGAGCAGAACGCCTCATCTTTCTCCCGCGGAGCAGCTGGTAGTTTCGAACTGCTGGCCTTAAGGTTCGCAGCCCGATTCGTAACCACTACGCTACCAGAGCTCCTTGATTGGCAGATAGTAAATCCTATGTAACACCATAAATATCTCATTAATGTTGAGGCACGTACACCACTAATGTGTGCTTTTCATAAATGGTCCGTCCTCCCTCACACCTACTAGGACTTTCTGCTCTACCCCTCACTCTTCTCTAATCTCTAGCTTCAACCCTTTTACTTCATGAAAGTCCTACTCGATTCATTTTGCCCAACTGGCAATATTCCTTTAATACCTCACTTTTTCAGTGAGGATATATTCACTTGGTTCACTTTCCTGCCTGGCTTTCCACAGCCTTGGAACTGTGTGCCCTTCTAGAAAATTCTAGCCAATGTCAATTATGGCACCTGCTAAACCAAAATGCTGGCAGAGACTGTATCCAAATTTTAAAATTATAGCTGCCTTTGTTTTCTTATTTGTATTATTTTCTGCAATGATCATTGCTTGTATTGTTGTTGTTAAGTGCCTTTGAGATGGTTCCAACTCATAGCGACTCTGTGTATGGTTTCTGAGGGGTGGCTGGTGAGTTTGAACCGCTGACCTTGCAGTTCAAACCAACCTTGTGGTTCAGTGCTGATCCTACAGCATCACACTGGGACCCCATTGCCTGTATAATCAAATTTAAAATCTTAAATCCAAGAGGAAAAGGCCTATTAAAAGATCAACAACCATAATAAATAAAAGACTATAAAATATAGAAACCTTTTAAAATATCATGTGTTGGGAACAGTAGACCATTCATTTTACATTTGAGTCACTAATACATTAATTATTATTATTATATTATTATAGTGAAAATAAGTCTCACAGTACAAATGCCAAGTATCTCAGGGAATACTGACAAGTAAGTTGAGAACACAAAGGTTCAAAAGGGGAAATATCTCTGGTAGTTTTCCCCCAGAGACATGAAAGCATGGCACAAATCCAGCAGCATGGCTTTACTACCTTGAATGCTACTTCATGCCAGATTTTTTATGCTAATTGGGCTAATAGTCTCTCCGTGGATGTACTTTCATTATAATAATAATCTGCACCAACATGTGCTTACTATGTTCTATTAACTCATTTAATCCTCAAAACAACCTAAGAGGTGAGTATTAGCAATAACTCTGTTTTATAGAGGAGGACATTGAGACATAAAATGCCATGTTGCTGGGAAGTGGTAGTGGCAGTATTTGAACCCAAGTGGTCTGGATCTTAACCTCTGCCTTTTGCTCCCTGGTCTCCCCAACTCCTCTCTGACGGACCATGACTAGGGTACCATAACAATGTGGCCACCTCAAGACTAGAGCCTCACTGAACCACCCTAGACATAAATCCACATTGCTTCTCACATGCTGACTTCATCAGCTTCCAATTCTTAGTTCAAGCTGTCAGCACAGCCTGACAAGTCCTGTCTCAGCTGGTTCACTTCCTCCTCTGAGAGGCTCTCAGAGAGCCTCCAATCAGAATCCATCTCCCTGCTCCCTGTTCTCAGAGCTCCAGTGGGACAGTAACCCCAGTCATCTAGGGGAATTACCTATGTCTATTAAGGAGCTCTGGTAGCATAGTGGTTACGAATTGGGCTGCGAACCTTAGGGTCAGTAGTTCGAAACTACCAACTGCTCTGCAGGAGAAAGATGAGGCTTTCTGATCCCGTAAAGATTTACAGACTTGAAAACCCTGTACAGGGTTGCTATGAGTCAGAACCAACTCCATGGCACAATAACAACAACAACAACAACAACAATATTCTCATGCCGCTTATGTCTAGTTCCTGGTTGTGAACACCAGACTATCTAGGTTGTCTGTACAACCCAATTCAAAAGACTATTAATAGATTTTCTGAATGACTCTAGCTCCCACAACCTATGAAGTGTGATTACGGTGATACTCTTCCAGCTTACAGAGGAAAGTAAAGTAGTTGCCTTGGAGTGAGTTTAGGTATAGCCTGGAGAATAGGGTAGAGCAGGGGAAAATGTGTAGAAGTGCCAATCAGGAGACTGGTTCAATGTTGGCTTATCCAACTAGGTGTGATCTTGGACAAGCCCTCTTTGAGCCTCAGTTTTCCTACCTGTAAAATGGGGAAATGGTTGCGCTTATATGATCTCTAGAGTCTTTTCCAGTTTAAACATCCTCAGCCTGGAGGATTATATAGTCCAAAACCAGTTGCTTTCAAGTTGATTCCAAATCAGAGTGACTCTATGTGCGCCACAGGATTTTCAATGGCTGATTCTTCAGAAGTAGATAACCAGGATTTTCTTCTGAGGAACCTCTGGGTAGATTCAAACTGCCAACTTTTTGACCAGCAGGTGAGTGGTAAACCATTTGCACTTCCCAGGTATGTCAGGTTGTAGCCCTGAGAGGGGACATGTATCCTTACCTGCTCTCCTCGCCCTCCAGCAGTTTGCGGTAGGTGGCGATCTCTACATCCAGGCCCAGTTTGGAGTTCATCACCTCCTGGTACTCCTTGAGCAGGCAGGCCATGTCCTGCTTAGCCTTCTGCAGGGCCTCCTCCAGCCCAGCCAGCTTGCAGCGGGCATCACTGAGCGCTGCCTCACCCTGCTGCTCTGCCTCAGCCACCGCAGCCTCCAGTTTGGCACGCTATGGGGAAGGAGGGAGGGAAAGAGGTTTGAAAGGGTGCAGGCTGTGGGGACCCTGGTTGGTCTCTAGCAGTTTTGGTTATCTATTTTGCCTCCATTCAAATGAGTCAATTTTTGAACTTAATACATTTAAAAAAAAAGAAATACATCGATGGGAAATCAACAGAAAATAATAGCTCATTTGAAGATTTTCTTCTTCATTTTACACCACTTCATAGTGAAACGCAAATCAATGATAAGCCATTCGAGGAAGGAAATGTATAGACAGTACCTAGATTATGAACAGGGTCCATTCTTAACTGTGTCTTTAGTCTTTAAGTGAAATATGTAGATAAGTAGGAACCGATGCATACTATTCTTATTTAGCCTTATTTTTATGCAAGAAAAGCCTTGGAGCCCTTTCAATGATTTAAAAGCTATACCTGCAACAAGTGAAAGTGGTTGTGATGAAATTGTTGTAAGTAGGAGCATGGTAGAGTCAGGGTGCAGTGCTATGGGTCAATGCACTGGACATCAGGGTCAGTTTGAACCAAAAAGTACGGCAGTTCAAGCTCACCAGGCACTCCTTGGAAACCCTATATAGGATCACTATGAGTTGGAACCAACTCAATGGCACTTAACAACAACAGGGAGCATGGTGGCTCTGTGTGAGCACCGGACTGCAAACCACAAGGTTGGTGGTTCAAGTCCACCAGTCACTTTGCAAAAGAAAGATGAGGCTTTCTGCTCCTGCAAAGATGCACAGCCTTGGAAACTCTAAACAGCATCTCTATGAGTATGAATGGACTTGTTTCAATCACTTTCAAAGTGAGGTCAAATTTACATAACAAAAAGAGCAAGCAGGAGTTGTCCAGAAGAAATCAGAGGTTCTTAATCCTGGGAACTGCTCGTACTAGAATGGTGGTGGTGGCAGTGGTGTGCTGGTGGTGTGCTGTGGAGTCAGTACCAACTCATAGCGACCCTGTCTAGGGTTTCCAAGGCTGTATATCTTTACGGATGCAGAAAGCCTCATCTTTCTCTTGCAGAACGGCTGGTAGTTTTGAACTACTGACCTTGAGGTTAGCAGCCCCACTCAAAACCACTATGCTACCAGAGCTCCTTATAAAACTAATAGAAGAGAAAAAAAAGTAAGAGGATACCTTTATGACCTCAAAATGTTCTAATTGTAACCATTAAGGGCAGAATGAATGGATTTGGTCACATACAAGTTGAAGGTTTCTGTTCAGTGAAGGATACCAGAATACATAAGACAGACAAGACAGACTTAGAGACAATTAACCAGCAAAGAGTGACCATCTAGAATGGACAAGGCAGTAATGCAAATCACCAAGAAAAAAGACAGGAATACCTTCTTCTTCTTCTTTTTTTTTTTTTTTTAAATCGGAAAATAATATGAATAGGCAATTCTTAGAAAGGAAAAGACAAGTGACTAAGAAATATATGAGGAGACAATCAACATCTAGTGTTAAAACAAAATCATATTAAGCCAATAATAGAAATTGATTAAAGTTTATTTAATATATGATTTGCAAATTGAAGTAACATTTCAACTAGGGAGTCAAAAATGTTTCGGAGAGGAAAGAACTTCCATAGATTCTTATACTCCATCTTATTGACATTACCATGGAAACTGATCTGAATAGAACTGATAAAAATAAAGTGTGATTGGGAAGGAATTCTTTGTCTTGAAGAACAATTAAAACAGTTACTAACTACCAGCTGTTTCACAGGAGAAAGATGAGGCTTTCTGGTCCTGTAAAAATGTACAGCCTCGGAAACCCTGTACAGGGTGGCTATGAGTCAGAACCGACCTCACAGCACATCACAACAACAACAATGTAATCTAAAACATAGCACCCAGTCTGACTTTGGAATTTCTAGTTCTGGAAACTGACTACAAATGGATATGCTTCAAAAGACAAACAATGCTCAAGGCAGAACGGACTTTGCTGATATATGTACGAAGCTATTGTTTGACTCAAAGGTGACTTTAGGAAACCAGTTTCCTCTAGGTTCAAGGCTCAAAACCACAACCTGTGGAAATGACCTGAGTAGGTCCTAATGGTGAGATGCCTGTTTACACCTGTTAGATCCACAAGAATTAGAAAGTCTGACCATAATGAGGGCTAGAAACAGAACCATGTGTGTGCTGATAACGGGAGTGGTGCTCTAGGATCAACACTGGACTGCAAACCACCAGGCCAGCAGTTCAAACCCACAGGGACAGAACTGACTTGATGGCACTTAACAACAACAACAACACACCAGCACAGCTCTCCTGTTACTTAGTGAAAATACGTATATACTCACATATCTCATCACCCAGCAAGTCTGTTGAAACAGTTGTGAGGAAGGAAAGAAAGCAGGAGCTAACCAGTGCCCTATAGCGTATTGTCTTAGAAATGGACTCAGCATAAAGAGACAGTAAGATCAGGGAGGCAGACGAGACCTATGTATAAAATCTTTTGTGCTGTGTGGCCCTTCAGAAGCATGTGGAGGCCTTGGAAGTAGGAGGAAAGCAGATCAGAAACAATGAGCAGGGTCTCAGCATCCTCCTAACCTGTTGCTTGGCATTCTCCACCTCAGCCGTCAGCCTCTGAATCAGACGGTTCAGCTCGTTGAGTTCATCCTTAGTTTTGCGGAGGCTCTCGCCCTGCTGGGTCACTGTGGTCTTCATCTCTTCACACTGCAGGTTGGGAGACAAACATGGAGAAACAGCCAATGATCACAACATGGCTGGGGGTGTGTGGTTGGTTATTATTCCAGTGGATTCCCTCAGCCAGGTGAGCTAGCTCACTGTTTTGCTGCAGTTTCACCACATTCTCCTGCTTGCTCCAGACTTCCACTGCAGCCCTTTGGGATACATGGGTGAAAATTCCAGAGAAGGACGAGGCTCACTGTGATCTCTCTGGATTGTAGGGCAACCTGGACCCAAACATACAGCATACCCCCAGCGCTCCTGTTCACCTTGGTTTGGTACCAGGATTCGACTTCAGCCCTGCTGCAACTGGCGATGTCATCGTACTGAGCCTTAATTTCAGCCACCACTGAGTCCATGTTGAGCTCCCGGCTGTTGTCCATCTTTACCACTACTGAGGTGTCTGAGATTTGTGACTGAAGGAGACAAATTTCCTGTAACAAACAACAACCAGAGACCTCAGCTCCAAGTCCCACTCCTATTCTCCACTGGCAATTCAAAACACAGCTCCAAATCTGACACTTTCAGAAATAAAGTATTAAACTACGAGCAGGTTAGGGAAATTAAAAAAGAGATGTTTACAGAGAGGGTTGGGAAGGAATTGGAACCCTGGACTTAAGGCAATGAGTAAGGTGGAATTCTATTAATGCCTGAATCAACCAAGGCGGGGATCTGGATCATTCTACCTGGGACTTGATTGACTCAAATCAGCTGCAGTTATCTGTAGACCTCTATTAACAGATAATGGCCAGATTCAGGTTCCAGGGTTTTCTAATTGGGATTTTGTACTACCTGAGTTAATGAGATCATTGTCAAATCACTATTCATTTCATGCTGTGCAGTGGTGGTGGTTTGTGCCATGGAGTCAGTTCTGACTCATAGCAATCCTGTATAAGGTTTCTGAGGCTGTAAAGCCTCACCTTTCTTCCCTGGAATAGCTGATAGTTTCAAACTGCTGACCTTAAGGTTAGCAGCCTGACTTGTAACTACTACCCTGCCAGAGCTCCTTGTCATGCTGTGTAGACAGGGATTAATCATGGTCTTTCAAGCTATTTTAAAAGAATGATGATCCCCATATCCATTCCGGAAGGAGAACTAACAAGGGAAAATCTCTTCTAATTACAGAAAGAATAGGCATTCATGTCTTAGGAGAATAAAGAATTATCCCTAGAATTAAAGACACAGGACAGGCCACATTCTGAGAAATCCTCCTCTGCTTCCTTATTCTCTTGCTTTTCTAGATATGGGGAGAGACTTACCTCCTGATACAGGGACTGCAGAAAGCCAATCTCCTCCCTCAGAGCTTCCACATTGGCCTCCAGGTCCGCCTTGCGCAGATAGGCACAGTCCACATCCTGGTGGAGAGAGACAAGGGAGGACAGGAATGGGATAAGTCCCCTTCCTCATGCCCTGGAACCCTCTTAAGGACATCTCCTGAGCTCTCTACCTCTGATCTGCCCACCACTCATCTGTCATACTGTGGTGGCTTGTGTGTTGCTCTGATGCTGTAAGCTGTTCACCAGTATTTTAAATACCAGCAGGGTCACCCATGGTGGACAGCTTCCAGCAGAGTTTCCAGACGAAGATAAACCAAGAAGGAGGAGAGGCAGACTACATCTGAATGTTCAGCCACTGAAAATCCTATCAATAACACCAGAGCATTGTCAGATATAGTACCAGCAGATGAACACATTATAAGTAGCACCAGAGCATTGTCAGATATAGTACCAGCAGATGAACACATTA